TTGTCCATTGCTTGCCTCGTGGCTCTCTGCCACCTTCAGCTTGTTTGAAGCTTGCTTTCCTCATCAGATCTCACCCCTGCTGTCTCCCTGCAGGGCTCCTCTGCAGGACAATGCGATGCTGGTGAACTGAGGGAGGATCCCAGCACTTCCAGGTGCCCCACGCTCCTGCTGGCTGCGCGCCCTCTTAATTTATTTTGTCGTCTGCTTTTAATGACTCAGCACCAGCCCCAAAGGAGCAAGAAGAGATGGACGCCCCCCAGGCCATGGGCTGCACAGATGGATGCCTGTGCTACCATTTCTTTTTTCCCTCCACGGACGCTGTGCCTCTGTGCTCCCAATGCTGAACTACTGCAGCCCCCCAGCTGTGTTTTAGGGGCTTTGGGAGCTCAGCCCTGCTTCTCTTGCATTGAGGACTCAGCTGATGCTTCATCCTGAAGCCCTGCAGCCCCTCAGCTGTGTGCTGGACTCATCCCTGCCCTCGCTCCCCGCTCCAGTTTGCCATTGGGCCGCATCCTGAACTTGCCTAGAGACTCACAGTGCCCTGGGGACACATCTTGGCCTTTGTCCTACAGCTCCACAGCCCTTTGGCTGCCCTGGACGCTTATCCTCACCCTTATCCTGCAGCCCAGCGTCCCGTTGGCTGAATCAGAGACGCGTCTGGAGCTTTACCCCCGAGCCCTGCAGCCTCTCAGCCACTTGCAGCCCTTGGGAATAAGTACAGGGACGAGCCCTGAGCCACCTGCTGACATCGGGTTCCCATTTGTGCCCACGGTCAGGAGCCCAGAGCCCCTTTGGCTGCACTGGGGTGGTATCCTTCTCTCCATCTCGCATCCCCTCAACCATTTTTAGGCACCAGTTGAGGCACAGAGGCCTGCAGCACTGTGTCTCATGCCTCTGTCCCATGCCAACCACAGGCCCAGGAGCCAGGCCGTGTCCTCCTGCCCTCCCTGCAGCTTGCTCTGCTGTGCTGTTGGCACAGGGCTGCGTGTTTACAGCCCAGGCTGAGAGAAGCTTTTTGTCCTTGGGGAGGAGGGGGGTTGAAGGCAGCTGCTCTGTGCTGGAGTGCAGCCAACAGCTGCCTGTTCCAGGCACGGCTTTTGTGCTGACAAAGGCCGAAATGGCTGCAGGTGGGAGCTGGGCTGCCGTGGGGAGGCCGTGTTCATTTGTGGAGCGAGTTGTGGCTGTTCTCAGCCTGGGGGAATAAAGCAGCTGAGGGGAAACGGTGCTTCTGTGCTCTGTGGGGCTCAGCCCCAGCACGTGGAGGAGGGGTTCGTTGGCACCTCGGGGTGCCCGTGGGAGTGGGGGGCGAGGGGGGTTTGAGGGGGGGGTCCTGGGGGCTGTGCTGTCACGTGGGAGGGAAGGGACCCTGTGGACAGGGGGCTCTCTGGGGGGTCTTGTCACCTAGTGTGCCCTCAGCTCGAGGTGTCAGCCCTATGGGTTCAGCTTGGGGTGCCCCGGGTTTCCCCCGCCCACCCCCCCCTTTATTTTTAAGCCCCTCCTCAGGGTTCTGGGCCACGCGCCGCCCTCCATTGCCACTCCCAAGATGGCGCCAGGGATGAAAACACTCGGGTAGGCGCGTCGTGATGACGTCGCAAAACAAACGCCGCACTCAAAATGGCGGCTGCCGGCTTTACCTCCTCTGGTCGACCTTCTGAAGATGGCGGCGTCGCCGAGATGCTCTCCGCCCTCCTTCCGCTTACGTCATCACAGAGAGACGTCGGGAGGAGGTTTTAAAGGGACCATGACCTCCCCGAGCCGCCGCCGATGCCGGAGCGGGGTGGGAAGCAATTGGTGAGGGCGGGGGGGAGAGGGGGGCAGGAGCGCTCTGAGGAGAGGGTCTGGGGGGGGGTGGGGTGTAATACCCCTCAGGGGGGCTGGGAGTGGGTGTAGGGAGCGGTTCGTTCCCTCTGCAAAGGGGATGTGAGGGTGGGGGAGAGGGCAAAAGGGATTGGGGGAGAGCAATGATAGCCGTGGGGGAGGGATATGGATTTGGGGGGTGGGAATACGGATTTTGGGGGGGGATGTGTGGGTGGGGAGGGGGCAATATTAGCCCTAAGGGTGATGTATGGGTTTGGGGGGGGAGGGGAGGGAGTAATATTGATCTTGATGGATGGATTTTAATTTGAGGGGGGGGTGTTAAATGCAGAGGGGGAGGGCAGCATCAAGCGCGGGGTTGTGGGGCGGGCTGGGGGCTCAGCACGGTGGGGTGGGGCAGGAACCCTCGGGAAGGGAGGGGGGGGGAGGGGCACTGACACCCTATGGTGGGGGGGGAATGGCGCCGCAGGGGTTGTTTGTCCCCACCCCCCTGTCCCCACCCCTGGTAGCAGTGGGTGACGCTGCCGATCCCCGGTGCGCTGGTGGCACCACCGCCTCTTGGGGTGTCCTTGGGAAGGACAGGGGAGGGGGAGGAGGTGGCACTGTCCCCTTTGGGTGCTGGGGGACGAGGGAGGTGGCACTGTCCCCTTTGGGTGCTGGGGGGAAGAGGTGGCACTGTCCCCTTTGGGTGCTGGGGGGGGAAGAGGTGGCACTGTCCCCTTTGGGTGCTGGGGGGGGGAAGAGGTGGCACTGTCCCCTTTGGGTGCTGGGGGGGGGGGGGAAGAGGTGGCACTGTCCCCTTTGGGTGCTGGGGGGGGGGGAGGGGTGTGACACCTTGTGACACAGGGACAGCAGAGGCCTCCGGGCTGTCGCAACGCCTGGGACAGTTCCTCCCTACAAGGACACAGAAATCCTCCAACAGCTGCTCCACTCTGTGCCACCCAGCACCGTGGGGACACCCTGGGGACACCCCGTGCCACAGCCCCCATGCATCCAACTGGGGTGGGCAGCCACCCCCGACCCAAATTCACCCTGTCTGCAGGTGTCCCCACCTCGAGGACACCCGTGGGACGCTCTGGGGTCACCTACGCATCCCACTGGGTTAAAAAAGCCAACCCCAACCTCACTTCAACCCCGCGCTGTCACCATTCCCTGGTGTCCCTTCTGTGCCCCATCCGAGCTGCGAACCCCGCAGTATTTTCATAATTTCCCCGTTTTTTGGTAGATTTCTGCATGGGCGAAGCCCCTCGGCGGACATGGGGCAGAGTGCATTGGAGCCACAGGAGGAGGCGGAGGTAAGGGACGTCCCCACGAGGTGGCAGCCACCACCCCACGTCCCCAACCCTGCAGCTCAGCCTCTTGTCCCCGCAGGACGCGTCCCTGATGGCCACTTTGTCTGAGCTCTTTACCAAGGAGCAGCTCTCCACCAGCACGGTGAGTCCCCTCCAAGGGCACAGAGTTGTCCCTTAGGGTCGATGTCCATTAGGGACGATGTCCCCTAGGGATGATGTCCCTAAGCACGGCTCAGAGGGACGCACACGTGTCCCCACGGTCTGCAAGTTTCAGTTCTTGCTGCTGCCGATGCAACCGAAGGTGATAAAGTTGCCACCATAATGCAGGGACACGGCCTGAACCCCGGCGCTGGGTACCCCTAAGGGCACACAAAGTTGTCCTCACGCCCCAGGGGACACCAGCTTGTCACCACACCGTCATGGGCGACGTCCCCAAGCACAGCTAAGGGGACACCGACTCGTCCCCGTGCTCCAAGGGGCGCAAACTTGTCCCCATGCTTTTGGGGGATGCGGTCCTGCTGCTGAGCACCGCTGAGGGGCTGCCCCACACCCCGAGGGCCGCTGTCCCTTCAAGCCATGGTGGTGGCAGCACCGTGGGAGGTGACATGGGGACCTCATCTTCCTCGCCAGGTGCTGTGGGCGATGCTCAGCCTCAGCCTCTTCACCATCCTCTTTGCAATTGGCGTCGTGCTGCTGGTCCGGCGGCTGCGCCTTAAGAGTGAGTGACACCGGGGGGGGGGGGGGGTGACACGGAGACGCCTCGGTTTCCCCCGTGGAAGATTGGGTGACAAAGAGGGTGGCACGTGAGGTGACAGCGCTGCCCCCTCCCCGCTTTCCAGAGGTGCCCGCACAGGAGACGCCCAAATACCGCTTCCGAAAAAGGGACAAGATGCTGTTCTACGGGCGCAAGATCATGCGCAAGGTGACGCCGGGGGTGGCACCTCCCTCGTGGCACCACGGGGTGACGCTCCCCGATGTCACCGCAGCTTGACGTCACACCTCCCCCCCCTCCCAGGTCTCCCAGTCCACCTCCTCGCTGGTGGACACCACCATTTCCAGCACCTCGCGGCCCCGCATGAAGAAAAAACTCAAAATGCTCAACATTGCCAAAAAGTGAGGATCCCCTGCTTGGTGGCGGTGGCGGCGGTGGCAGAGCCCGGCGTCACCTCGCTGTCCCCTCAGGTTCCTGCGGATCCAGAAGGAGCTGCCCACGTTGCAGCTGAAGGAACCCCCTCCCTCGGTGCTGGAAGCTGACCTGACCGAATTCGACGTGGCCAATTCCCACCTCCCCTCCGAGGTGCTTTACATGCTCAAAAACGTCCGGTGAGTCTCACAACCCCCCTGGATTCACGTTCCGTCCCCCCCGCCGTCCCCCAACCCTAAAGCTGGTCGTGATCCATCCTCTCAAAGCCTCTTTTTGGGAGCTGGATCACGGATGCTTCGCGCCCTGCCTCCGCTGTTGCTATAGCAACGGGATGCGAGGTGGCATTTTGGTGCGGCGGCCATCAGCGCCGTGTCACCTGCTGCCCCCATCCCCGCAGGGTGCTGGGACACTTTGAGAAGCCGCTGTTTCTGGAGCTCTGCAAGCACATGGTTTTCCAGCAGTGTCAACAAGGGGATTATGTGTTCAGACCCGGGCAGCCCGACACCAGCATCTACGTGCTGCAGGACGGCAAGCTGGAGCTGCTCCTCACCGAGCCGGTGCGGGGACAGGGACAGGACGGGGACACTGTGGGGACAAGGGATGGGATGGGGGCACCACGGAGATGGGGCTGTGAAGAGCAGAAGGATTTGTGCTGTGCAGGATGGGAAGGAGACAGTGATGAAAGAGGTGTTTCCTGGAGACAGCGTGCACAGCCTGCTCAGCATCCTCGATGTCATCACGGTACCGGCGCCTCAGCTGTCCCCAGACCGTCACAGAACTGTCCCCAGCAGTTGTGGTGCTCTCCAGGAACGCCTAAAACTGATTGTGGCTGTCCGCAAGAATCCTAAGCCTGATCGTGGCCATCCCCAAACCCTTCCAAACCCAACCGTGGTCATCCCCAAACCCAAATCCAACCTTGGCCATCCCACAACCCTTCCAAGCCCAACCATGACCATCTCTAAGCCCCTACAAACCCAACCTTGGCTGTCCCCAAACCCAAACCCAACCATGGTCAATCTCTAACCCAAATGCAAACATGACCATCCCCCAAACCCTTCCAAACCCAACCAAGGCCATCCCATAACCCAATCCCAACCATGGCCATTCTCTAACCCAAACCCAAACATGGCCATCCCCAAACCCAACCTTGCCCATCCCCAAACCCTTCCAAACCCAACCAATGTCCTCCCCTAACCCATACCCAGCCATGACCATCCTCTAACCCAAACACAACTTTGGCCATGTGCAAACCCTTCCAAACCCAAACCCTTCCAAGTCCAACCATGGCCATCCCCAAAACCAAACCCAGACTTTGTCATCCCCAAACCCAACAGTGACCATCCCCAAACCCAAATCCAACCATGGCCATCCCCAAACCCAACCATGGCCATTCTCTAACGCAAACCCAACCAAGGCCATCCCCTAACCCAAGCCCAAACATGGCCATCTCTAAACTCTTCCAAACCCAAACATGGCCATCCCCAAACCCAAATCCAACCTTGGCCGTCTCCAAACCCAAACCCAACCATGGTCATCTCTAAACCCAAATATGGCCATCCCCAAACCCAAACACAACCTTGCCCATCCCCAAACCTTTCCAAACCCAACTAAGGTCATCCCCAAACCCAACCATGGCCGTCCCCAAACCCAATCCCAACCATGGCCATTCTCTAACCCAAACCCAACCACGGTCATCCTCAAACTCTTCCAAATCCAACCATGGCCACCCCCAACCCAAACATGGCCATCCCCAAACCCAACCTTGCCCATCTCCAAACCCTTCCAAACCCAACCAAGGCCCTCCCCTAACCCATACCCAGCCATGACCATCCTCTAATCCAAACACAACCTTGGCCATCCCCAAACCCTTCCAAACCCAAACCCTTCCAAATCCAACCACGGCCATCCCCAAACCCAAATCCAACCATGGCCATCCCCAAACCCAAACCCAGACTTTGCCATCCCCAAACCCAACAGTGACCATCCTCAAACCCAAATCCAACCATGGCCATCCCCAAACCCAACCATGGCCATTCTCTAATGCAAACCCAACCAAGGCCATCCCCAAACCCAAGCCCAAACATGGCCATCTCTAAACTCTTCCAAACCCAAACATGGCCATCCCCAAACCCAAATCCAACCTTGGCCGTCCCCAAACACAAACCCAACCATGGTCATCTCTAAACCCAAATATGGCCATCCCCAAACCCAAATACAACCTTACCCATCCCCAAACCCTTCCAAATCCAACTAAGGCCGTCCCCAAACCCAAACCCAACCTTGGCCGTCCCCAAACCCAATCCCAACCATGGCCATTCTCTAACCCAAACCCAACCACGGTCATCCTCAAACTCTTCCAAATCCAACCATGGCCACCCCCAACCCAAACATGGCCATCCCCCAACCCAACCTTGCCCATCTCCAAACCCTTCCAAACCCAACCAAGGCCATCCCCTAACCCATACCCACCCATGACCATTCTCTAACCCAAACACAAACTTGGCCATCTGCAAACCCTTCCAAACCCGAACCCTTCCAAATCCAACCATGGCCATCCCCAAACCCAAACCCAGACTTTGCCATCCCCAAACCCAACAGTGACCATCCCCAAACCCAAATCCAACCATGGCCATTCTCTAACGCAAACCCAACCAAGGCCATCCCCAAACCCAAGCCCAAACATGGCCATCTCTAAACTCTTCCAAACCCAAACATGGCCATCCCCAAACCCAAATCCAACCTTGGCCGTCCCCAAACACAAACCCAACCATGGTCATCTCTAAACCCAAATATGGCCATCCCCAAACCCAAACACAACCTCACCCATCCCCAAACCCTTCCAAATCCAACTAAGGCCATCCCCAAACCCAAACCCAACCTTGGCCGTCCCCAAACCCAATTCCAACCATGGCCATTCTCTAACCCAAACACAACCTTGGCCATCCCCAAATCCAACCATGACCATGCCTAAATCCTTCCAAACCCAACCTTGGCCATCCCCAAAACCAAACCCAGACTTGGCCGTCCCCAAACCCAACTTTGGCCATCTCCAAACCCAACTTTGGCCATCTCCAAACCCAATCCCAACCATGGCCATTCTCTAACCCAAATCCAACCTTGGCCATCCGCGAACCCTTCCAAATCCAAACCCTTCCAAATCCAAACCCTTCCAAATCCAAACCCTTCCAAACCCAACCTTGGACATCCCCAAAACCAAACCCAGACTTGGCCGTCCCCAAACCCAACCTTGGCCGTCCCCAAACCCAATCCCAACCATGGCCATTCTCTAACCCAAACCCAACCACGGCCATCCTCAAACTCTTCCAAATCCAACCATGGCCACCCCCAACCCAAACATGGCCATCCCCAAACCCAACCTTGCCCATCCCCAAACCCTTCCAAACCCAACCAAGGCCCTCTCCTAACCCATACCCAGCCATGACCATCCTCTAACCCAAACACAACCTTGGCCATCCCCAAACCCTTCCAAACCCAAACCCTTCCAAATCCAACCATGGCCATCCCCAAACCCAAACCCAGACTTTGCCATCCCCAAATCCAACAGTGACCATCCCCAAACCCAAATCCAACCTTGCCCATCCTCAAACCCTTCCAAACCCAACCAAGACCCTCTCCTAACCCATACCCAACCATGGCCATTCTCTAACCCAAATCCAACCTTGGCCATCCGCGAACCCTTCCAAATCCAAACCCTTCCAAACCCAACCATGGCCATCCCCAAAACCAAACCCAGACTTGGCTGTCCCCAAACCCAACCGCGGCCATCCCCAAACCCTTCCAAACCCAAACCCTTCCAAATCCAACCACGGCCATCCCCAAACCCAAATCCAACCATGGCCACCCCCAAACCCAAACCCAGAGTTTGCCATCCCCAAACCCAAATCCAACCTTGCCCATCCACAAACCCTTCCAAACCCAACCAAGGCCCTCTCCTAACCCATACCCAGCCATGACCATCCTCTAACCCAAACACAACCTTGGCCATCCCCAAACCCTTCCAAACCCAAACCCTCCCAAATCCAACCATGACCATGCCTAAATCCTTCCAAACCCAACCTTGGACATCCCCAAAACCAAACCCAGACTTGGCCGTCCCCAAACCCAACTTTGGCCATCTCCAAACCCAACTTTGGCCATCTCCAAACCCAACCTTGGACATCCCCAAAACCAAACCCAACCTTGGCCATCTCCAAACCCAATCCCAACCATGGCCATTCTCTAACCCAAATCCAACCTTGGCCATCCGCGAACCCTTCCAAATCCAAACCCTTCCAAATCCAAACCCTTCCAAATCCAAACCCTTCCAAACCCAACCTTGGACATCCCCAAAACCAAACCCAGACTTGGCCGTCCCCAAACCCAACCGTGCCCATCTCCAAACGCAACCGCTGCCATCCCCAAACCCAACCACCCAACCACCCTGACCCTGCGCATGTCCCTCTGTCCCCACTCCCAGCCAGGAGTCATTGCCAGGACAGCAGTGACGCCGCCACCCCTGCTGTCCCCTAGGGCCACCAGCGGCCGTACCGGACGGTGTGCGCGCGGGCGGCGGAGGATTCTACAGTTCTGCGTTTACCAGTTGAAGCCTTTTCAGCTGTCTTTGAGAAATACCCTGAGAGCCTGGTGCGGGTGGTGCAGGTGAGCCCGACCCCGCTGGGATGTCACCGGGGACGAGCAGGGGACAGTGACGCACCTCCTTGTCCCCGCAGATCATCATGGTGCGCTTGCAGCGCGTCACCTTCCTGGCTCTGCACAATTACCTGGGGCTGACCAACGAGCTTTTCAGCCACGTGAGCGTGGGAGGGGAGGGCTGAAAATCCCCCCACCGCGGGGGCGAAAGAGTCCTGGCACTTCCCTGGCTCTCTCCACTGTCACCTTGTCCCTTTGCAGGAGATGCAGCCGCTGAGGCTCTTCCCACAGCCCAACCTCGCCACCCGCACCAGCCCAGTCCGCCATGGCAAGCGGGGTCTCGGCGCTGCTGAGGAGGGCAGGGAGAGACCAACGGAGCTGAGTAAGGGTCTGGAACCCCCCCCGGCCCCGGATCCCCCAAGAGGGGGCTCACAACTGTCTGTCCCTGCAGTTGAGCCACTGAAAGCTGGAGTTCTGGATGCCTCTGCACCACCGCTGCTGAGCCGCTGCATCTCCATGCCGGTGGATATCTCTGGTGGGTGGGGGCTGGGAGGAAAGAGGGGGTCCCTCAGTCTTGTGCGTCACCCCCCAGGGTACTGTGTCACCTGCTGAGGGTTGTGCATCTTCCATAGGGTCACACATCCCCCGCTATGACCATGCATCCTCCATAGGGTCACACGTCCCCCCTGTGACCATATAACCTCTATAGGGTCACACATCCCCCCCTATGGCCACATAACCTCCATAGGGCCACAAATCCCCCCCTATGGCCATATAACCTCTATAGGGTCATACATTTCCCCCTATGTGCATGCATCCTCCATAGGGTCACACGTCCCCCCATGACCATATAACCTCTGTAGGGTCACACATCCCCCCCTGTGACCACGTAACCTCCATAGGGTCACACGTCCCCCCCTATGACCATGCATCCTCCATAGAGTCACATGTCCCCCTCTATGGCCGTATAACCTCCATAGGGTCACAAATCCCCCCCTATGACCATAAAACCTCTATAGGGTCACACATCCCCCCTGTGACCATATAACCTCTATAGCGTCACACATCACCCCATAGGACCATATAACCTCTGTAGGGTCACACATCCCCCCCTATGACCATATAACCTCTATAGGGTCACACATCCACCCCTAAGACCATGTAACCTCCATAGGGTCACAAATCCCCCCCTATGGCCATAAAACCTCTATAGTGTCACACATCCCCCCCTATGACCATGCATCCTCCATAGGGTCACACATCCCTCCTGTGACCATATAACCTCTATAGGGTCACACGTCCCCCCCTATGATCTTATAACTTCTATAGGGTCACACATCCCCTCCTATGACCATGCATCCTCCATAGGGTCACACATCCCTCTTGTGACCATATAACCTCTATAGGGTCACACATCCCCCCCTGTGACCATGTAACCTCTATAGGATCACATGTCCCCCCCCGTGATCATATAACCTCTATAGGGTCACACATCCCCTCCTATGACCATGCATCCTCCATAGGGTCACACATCCCTCCTGTGACCATGCATCCTCCATAGGGTCACACATCCCCCCCTGTGACCATATAACCTCTATAGGGTCACACATCCCCCCCTGTGACCATATAACCTCTATAGGGTCACATGTCCCCCCCCTGTGATCTTATAACTTCTATAGGGTCACACATCCCCCCCTATGACCATGCATCCTCCATAGGGTCACACATCCCTCCTGTGACCATATAACCTCTATAGGGTCACACATCCCCCCCTGTGACCATGTAACCTCTATAGGGTCACACATCCCCCCCTGTGACCATATAACCTCTATAGGGTCACACATCCCCCCCTGTGACCATGTAACCTCTATAGGGTCACATGTCCCCCCCCTGTGACCATATAACCTCTATAGGGTCACACATCCCTCCAAGGGATTGTGCCCCCCTCTGTGGGGCTGCCCACCTTCCATGGGGTCGTGCATTCCCCCATAGGCTTTTCCTTCCTCCGTGGGGTCACGCATTCCCCCCATCCTTGGCCTCATGCACGCCTCCCCCCGGTTCTCCCACCCCATTTTCACCCACCTCGTGCTGCTGGTGACCCCCCTGCCCCCTCCCCGGTGGGACACAGGCATCCAGAAGGGTCCCCGCTCCGACTTCGACATGGCCTACGAGCGCGGCCGCATCTCAGTGTCGCTGCAGGAGGACAGCAGCAGCCCCCTGGCTGCCTTCTCTCGGGTAGGACTGCGCCCCCAAACCCCCCCCCCCTCCATCCCTTTCCACCCCCCGACTCCGACACCGGATCCGTCCCCTCGTCCTCGCAGTCCATCTCACACGAGCCCAAGGAACGCAAGTCGGTGACGGTGGAGGAGCAGCCATCGTGCGTCTACAGGTACAGCTGCGGGGACGACCCAGCCGTGGCCGATTGCCCCTTCGAGCCCTACCAGGGTCGCCAAACCAGCTCCATCTTCGAGGCGGCCAAGCAAGAGTTGGTCAAACTCATGAAGGTGGAGGTGAGCTCAGCCACGGTGCGGGGGGGATCCTGGGGGCCTCGGGGTCCCTTCTGGTGGTCCCTGGCACTTTGTGGTGCTCCCCCGCGGCCTCTTGGTGCTTCTGTTGCCCCACGGTGGTCCCCAGTGTCTTGTGGGCCCTGTTGTGGTGGCCTCCATGGCTTTTTGGTGGTGCCCATCACCGTGTGGTGGCCCCATATGGATTTTTTATGGTTCCCATCATCTCATCGTGGCTTCCTATGGATTTTTCATGGCCCCTATCACCTCACAAGGGCCCCACATGGATTTTTGGTGGTCCCAATCATCTCATGGTGGCCCCATTTGGCTTTTCCATGGCCCCCATCACCTCATAGCGGCCCCCTATGGCTTTTGCATGGCCCCTATCACCATGTGGTGGCCCTCCTCATCACCTCATGGTGGCCCTCCATGGCTTTTTCATGGCCCCCATCATCTCATGGTGGCCCTATGCCTTTTTCATGGCCCCTACCACCTCACAATGGCCCCACATGGATTTTTGGTGGTCCCGATCATCTCATGGTGGCCCCATATGGCTTTTCATGGCCCCCAACATCTCGTGGTGGCCCCCTATGCCTTTTTCATGCCCCCTATCACCTCACAATGGCCCCACATGGATTTTTTATGGTCCCATTCATCTTGTGGTGGTCCCATATGGATTTTGTATGGTTCCCATCATCTCACTGTGGCTTCCTATAGCTTTTTCATGGCCCCCATCACCCCATGGTGGCCCCTATAGCTTTTTCATGGCCCCTATCACCATGTGCTGGCCCTCCATGGCTTTTTCATGGCCCCCATTAACTCAAGGTGGCCCTATATGGCTTTTCATGGCCCCTATCACCTCACAATGGACCCATATGGATTTTTTATGGTTCCCATCATCTCATGGTGGTTTCCTATGCCTTTTTCATGGCCCCCATCACCTCAAAGTGGCCCCATATGGCTTTTCATGGCCCCTTTCACCTCACAATGGCCCCACATGGATTTTTTGTGGTCCCAGTCATCTCATGGTGGCCCCATATAGATTTTTTATGGTTTCCATCATCTCCTGGTGGCCCCCTATGGCTTTTTCATGTCCCCTTTCACCTCACAATGGCCCCACATGGATTTTTTGTGGTCCCAGTCATCTCATGGTGGCCCCATATAGATTTTTTATGGTTTCCATCATCTCATCGTGGCTTCCTATGGCTTTTTCATGGCCCCTTTCACCTCATGGTGGCCCCACATGGATTTTTGGTGGTCCCCATCACGTCATGGTGGCCCCACATGGCTTTTTCATGCCCCCTATGACCTCACAATGTCCCCATATGGATTTTTTATGGTTCCCATCATCTCATTGTTGCTTCCTATGACTTTTTCATGGTCCCCATCACCTCATGGTGGCCCCCTATGCCTTTTTCATGGCCCCTATCACCTCACAATGGCCCCACATGGATTTTTTGTGGTCCCAATCATCTCATGGTGGCCCCATATGGATTTTTTATGGTTCCCATCATCTCATCATGGCTTCCTATGGATTTTTCATGGCCCCCATCACCTTGTGGTGGCCCCACATGGCTTTTTCATGGCCCCTATCACCTCACAATGGCCCCACATTGATTTTTGGTGGTCCCAATCATCTCATGGTGGTCCCATATGGATTTTTTATGGTTCCCATCATCTCATCCTGGCTTCCTATGGATTTTTCACGATCCCTATCACCTCATGGTGGCCCCACATGGCTTTTTCATGCCCCCTATCACCTTACAATGGCCCCATATGGATTTTTTATGGTTCTCATCATCTCATTGTTGCTTCCTATGTCTTTTTCATGGCCCCCATCATCTCATGGCGGTTTCCTATGCCTTTTTCATGTCCCCTATCACCTCACAATGGCCCCACATGGATTTTTTGCGGTCCCAATCATCTCATGGTGGCCTCATATGGATTTTTTATGGTTCCCATCATCTCATGGTGGCCCCCTATGGCTTTTTCATGGCCCCCATCACCTCATAGCGGCCCCCTATGGCTTTTTCATGGCCCTTATCACCATGTGGTGGCCCTCCTTATCACCTCATGGTGGCCCCACATGGATTTTTGGTGGTCCCAATCACCTCATGGTGGCCCCATATGGATTTTTTATGGTTCCCATCATCTCATGGTGGCTTCCTATGGCTTTTCATGGCCCCCATCACCTCATGGTGGCCCTCCATTTCTTTTTCATGGCCCCCATCATCTCATGGCGGTTTCCTATGCCTTTTTCATGGCCCCCATCACCTCACAATGGCCCCACATGGATTTTTGGTGGTCCCAATCATCTCATGGTGGCCCCATATGGATTTTTTATAGTTCCCATCATCTCATGGTGGCCCCCTATGGCTTTTTCATGGTCCCCATCATATCATGGTGGCCCTATATGGCTTTTTCATGGCCCCTTTCACCTCACAATGGCCCCACATGGATTTTTTATGGTCCCATTCATCTCGTGGTGGTCCCATATGGATTTTGTATGGTTCCCATCATCTCACTGTGGCTTCCTATAGCTTTTTCATGGCCCCCATCACCCCATGGTGGCCCCTATAGCTTTTTCATGGTCCCTTTCACCTTATAGTGGCCCCACATGGATTTTTTGCGGTCCCAATCATCTCGTGGTGGCCCCATATGGATTTTTTATGGTTCCCATCATCTCATCATGGGTTCCTATGGCTTTTTCACGGTCCCCATCACCTCATGGTGGCCCCCTATGGCTTTTCCATGGCCCCCATCACCTCATAGTGGCCCCCTATGGCTTTTTCATGGCCCCTATCACCATGTGGTGGCCGTCCTCATCACCTCATGGTGGCGCCACATGGATTTTTGGTGGTCCCAATCATCTCATGGTGGCTCCATATGGATTTTTTATGGTTCCCATCATGTCATCGTGGCTTCCTATGGATTTTTTCATGGCTCCTATCACCTTGTTGTGGCCCCATGTGGCTTTTTCATGGTCCCCATCACCTCATGGTGGGCCTATATGGCTTTTTCATGTCCCTTATCATCTCACAATGTACCCATATGGATTTATTATGGTTCCCATCATCTCATGGTGGCTTCGTATGGCTTTTCATGGCCCCCATCATCTGATGGTGGCCCCACATGGACTTTTTGTACTCCCAATCACCTCACAATGGCCCCACGTGGATTTTTTATGGTTCCCATCATCTCATCGTGGCTTCCTATGGATTTTCATGGCTCCTATCACCTTGTGGTGGCTCATATGGCTTTTCCATGGCCCCCATCACCTCATGGTGTCCCCATATGGATTTTTTATGGTTCCCATCATCTCATGGTGGTTTCCTATGGCTTTTTCATGACCCCATCACCTCATGGTGGCCCCCTATGCCTTTTTCATGGCCCCTATCACCTCACAATGCCCCCACATGGATTTTTTATGGTCCCATTCATCTTGTGGTGGCCCCATATGGATTTTTTATGGTTCTCATCATCTCATCATGGCTTCCTATGGCTTTTCATGGCCCCCATCATCTCGTGGTGGCTCCTATAGCTTTTCCATGGCCCCCATCACCTCACAGTGGCCCCATATGGCTTTTTCATGGCCCCATCACCTCATGGTGGCCCCCTATGCCTTTTTCATGGCCCCTATCACCTCACAATGGCCCCACATGGATTTTTCGTGGTCCCAGTCATCTCATGGTGGCCCCATATGGATTTTTTATGGTTCCCATCATCTCATTGTGGCTTCCTATGGCTTTTTCATGGCCCCCATCATCTCATGGTGGCCCCCTATGGCTTTTTCATGGCCCCTATCACCTTGTGGTGGCCCTCCATGGCTTTTTCATGGCCTCTTCATCTCATGGTGGCCCCACATGGATTTTTTATGGTTCCCATCATCTCACGGTGGCCCCCTATAGGTTTTTCATGGCCCCTATCACCTCAAGGTGGCCCCTATAGCTTTTTCATGGTCCCTTTCACCTTATAGTGGCCCCACATGGATTTTTTGTGGTCCCCATCACCTGATGGTGGCCCCATATAGATTTTTTATGGTTCCCATCATGTCATCGTGGCTTCCTATGGCTTTTTCATGGCCCCTTTCATCTCATGGTGGCCCCACGTGGATTTTTTATGGTCCCAATCATCTCATGGTGCCCCACGTGGATTTTTTATGGTCCCAATCATCTCATCGTTGCTTCCTATGGCTTTTTCATGGCCCCCATCACCTTGTGGTGGCCCTCCATGGCTTTTTCATTGTCTCTTCATCTCATGGTGACCCCACATGGATTTTTTAATGGTTCCCATCATCTCATGGTGGCCCCCTACGGCTTTTTCATGGCTCCTATCACCTCGTGGTGGCCCCATATGGATTTTTTACAGGTCCCATCATCTCATACTGGTTTCCAATGGCTTTTCCATGGCTCCTGTCACCTTGTGGTGGCCCTCCATAGCTTTTTGATGGCCCCCATCACCTTGTGTGACACCCTACTTTCTCCCAGGACCCTTCTCTTCTCAACAACCGCGTCTTGCTTCACCACGTCAAAGCTGGGACGGTTATTGCCCGCCAAGGGGACCAAGTAGGTCTGGGTTTTGGGGGAATGGCGCAGCGCCTCGCTTCCCTTGCCCCGTGTTTCCATGGGGCTCTGCTCCTCCTGCCTCTGCCCTATGAGTCCTGGTTGATGGGGCGCTGTTCTGGCAGGACGTGAGCCTCCACTTTGTGCTGTGGGGCTGCCTGCACGTCTACCAGAGGATGATCGACAAGGCCGAGGACGTCTGCCTCTTCCTGACGCAGCCCGGGGAGATGGTGGGGCAGCTGGCCGTGCTCACCGGGGAGCCCCTCATCTTCACCATCAAGGCCAACCGCGACTGCACCTTCCTCAAGATCTCCAAGTCGGACTTCTACGAGTGAGTGCCGACAAAGAGCAGGGGGGGGATTTGGGGCAGCGTTTCGCATCGATAGGGTGACGGGGCTCAGCGCCTACGGTGGCACTTGCTGGGGTCGCCGCCGCGTCCCCCAGCTGCTGTGGGTCCGTAGGATCATGCGGGAGCAGCCCAGCGTGGTGCTGAGCGTCGCCCACACCGTGGTCACCCGCATGTCGCCCTTCGTGCGCCAAATGGACTTCGCCATCGATTGGATGGCGGTGGAAGCCGGCCGGGCTCTCTACAGGTGGGTGACCCACACTTGTGGCTGGACGAGGATCCCACCCCGGGGGGCTGACGTCCCCTTCGGTGTCCCCAGGCAGGGTGACAAGTCGGACTGCACCTACATCGCGCTCAACGGGCGGCTCCGCTCCGTCATCCAGAAGGGCAGCGGCAAAAAGGAGCTGATTGGGGAATACGGCCGCGGGGATCTGATTGGCGTGGTGAGAGCCCTGCTGGGCCGGGGCTGGGATGCGGCGTCTCGGCGTTTCGTCTGATCTACGTGCCGTCACCTCCAGGTGGAAGCGCTCACCCGGCAGCCCCGTGCCACCACGGTGCACGCAGTGCGGGACACGGAGCTGGCCAAGCTGCCCGAAGGCACCTTGAACAACATCAAGCGTCGGTACCCTCAGGTACAGCCGAAATCTTGCCCTGCTCTGGGAGAAAACTGGGTTGTGCTGGGAGTCCCGACTGCATCCCCGCAGTTGCTTGGGTTACTGGGATGGATCTCAACCCGAAACGGGGAAGGACTGAGCCGTGTAAAGCCGCGATGCCTCACCGAGGTTGAAATTTAGGATATTTTAGAGGTTGGAGAGATGCTGCAGCACAGCAGAGGCTTGTAGGTGACTGCAGTGTGAAGGTGGTAACGGTGCGGTGGTGATGGCAGCGGTGGCCTTGGGGTGGAGGCGACGATGGTTCTGCATTGTTGGTGGCAACGGCCGTGGTTTGGTGGTGTCCACGGCTCGATCCTGCTGCAGTCTGGAGGCCAGCCGTGTTGGTGATGCTCGTCCCGGGGTCTGCACATCCTTCTTTGGGGAAGGAGCTCGTTCAACATCCCGGCTCATGGCTCTGATGCTCGTTAAATCCATCTTAAAGAATTAAAGTAATGGTTAAGGCTGGTGGAGGAGAAAGATCAGCGCCCTTCGGGGATGTTCTCTGAGATCCCCGAGGAGCTGTGGGAGTCGTGTCAGCGCCACGGAGCGAGACCAGAAGGGCATCCCATGTGCGTTTTTGGGTGCTGTCATGTCTCCGGCTCAGCGACCTGTCCTGATGGCTGTCCCACAGGTTGTCACCCGTCTCATCCACCTCCTGAGCCAAAAGATCTTGGGAAACCTCCAGCAGCTCCGCGGCCCCTTCGCAGGTGGGTCCCCAAGGGGACAACGAGGACAAGGTGACGAGGAGCTGCCCTTCTCTGAGGCACCACACCACACCTCTGAGGCATCTTCTCTTCTTGCAGGCTCTGGTTTGGGCATGGCCTCCAGCTCGGAGCCCACCAACCCCACCAGCAACCTGTCAACGGTGGCGGTGCTGCCGGTGTGTGACGACGTGCCCATGGCTGCCTTCACCTTGGAGCTCAAGCACGCACTGAATGCCATCGGTGAGTGATGGCGTGGTGGTGACCGCAGCCTCAGTGGTGGCCGTGGAGTAGAGGTGGCCGTGGTTCTGTGTCATGATGGTGACCGTGGCACAGCTGTGACCACAGCCCCGTGAGATGCCAGTGGTTGTGGCTCGTGGTGACTGGAAGCCCAAGGCATTGCGGTGGCCATGCAATGGTGGCAATAGTAGCGAGGGGAATCCTCATGGTGCGGCAGTGACCACGCAGTTATGGTGGTGATGGCTACCAGGTGGCTTCGTGGTGGCCACGTGATGGTGTTGACAGTGGCTTGGTGGTGACTGGAGCGCCACGGCATGCTTGGTGGCCATGCAACAGTGCCGACCATGGCTTGGTGTTGTCTGAAGTGCCACGGCATGCTTGGTGGCCACAGATGATGGCAATCATGTCAAGCTGGTGCCCAGAGCCCTATAGCGTTGTGGCGGCCACACAAAGAGTGGCAACTGTGGTTTGGTGGTGACCACAGCCACGTGATGCTGTGGTTGATGACATCCCCACCTCCCCCAGGTCCCACGCTGGTCCTCACCAGCGACATCATCCGTGCCCGACTCGGCTCCTCGGCACTGGACAGGTAACTGTCAGCAGGAGGGGCATCACCGGTGCCCCAGCGCCGTGCCATCGTTCTCCTCCATCCCGTTAGCATCCACGAGTATCGTCTGTCAGGCTGGCTGGCCCAGCAGGAGGACATCCATCGCATCGTGCTCTACCAGACTGACTGCACTCTGACGCCGTGGACCGTGCGCTGCATCCGGCAGGCAGACTGCATCCTCATCGTTGGGCTGGGGGACCAGGAGCCGGCGCTGGGAGAGGTGAGGGGTGTGTGGGGAGGTGGACGTGGCAGGGGCAGCTCAACTCCAAACGGAGCGGACGTGACGTGGACAACGTGGTGCTGCGTGGGTAACGAGGATGGGCGGCCCAACAGCAATCGAGTGGACGTGGGCTGGCAGCACGGTGACAGACGGGGTGGATGTGATGTGGAAAACAATGATAAAGGGGGTGGATATGGCATGGAAAACCCAGTGATAAATGGGGTGGATGTGATGTGGGACCCAGTGCCAAATGGGTGGAGGTGGCAGGAATAAGGCAGTGACAAATGGGGTGGAAATGGCATGGAAAACCTAATGCCAAATGAGGTGGACATGATGTGGAACCCAATGATAAATGGGGTGGATATGGCATGGAAAACCCAATGATAAATGGGGTGGACATGGCATGGAAACCCAATGACAAATGGGTGGAAATGGTAGAAACAACCCAGTGCCAAATGGGGTGGACATGGCAGGAACAACCCAATGCCAAATGGGTGGACATGGCAGGAACGACCCAGTGCCAAATGGGTGGACATGGTGTGGAACCCAATGATAAATGGGGTGGATGTGGCAGGAGCAACCTAGTGCCAAATGGGGTGGATATGGCATGGACAACACAGTGGGAAATGGGGTGGACATGATGTGTAACCCAGTGCCAAATGGGTGGACGTGGCATGGAAAACCTAATGCTAAATGAGTGGACATGGTGTGGCAACCTAATTCCAAATGGGTGGACATGGTAGGAACAACCCAGTGCCAAATGGGGTGGGCATGGCGTGGAACCCAATGATAAATGGGGTGGACATGATGGGGCAATCCAGTGCCAAATGGGTGGACATGGTGTGGCAACGTAATTCCAAATGGGTGGACATGGACTGAAAACCTAAAGCCAAATGGGGTGGACATGATGTGGAACCCAATGCCAAATGGGTGGACGTGGTAGGAACAACCCAGTGACAAATGGGTGGACATGGTGTGGCAACATAATTCCAAATGGGTGGACATGGATGGAAAACCCAGTGCCAAATGGGTGGACATGGTGAGGAACCCAATGCCAAATGGGGTGGACGTGGCAGGAACAACCCAGTGACAAATGGGGTGGACGTGGTGTGGAACCCAATGATAAATGGGGTGGATATGGCATGGAAAAGCCAATGATAAATGGGGTGGACATGGCATGGAAACCTAATGACAAATGGGTGGAAATGGTAGAAACAACCCAGTGCCAAATGGGTGGACGTGGCATGGAAAACCTAATGCCAAATGAGTGGACATGGTTTGGCAACCTAATTCCAAATGGGTGGGCATGGATGGAAAACCCCAATGATAAATGGGGTGGACATGGCAGGAACAACTTAGTGACAAATGGGGTGGATGTGGTAGGAATAACCCAATGCCAAATGGGGTGGACATGATGTGGAACCCAATGCCAAATGGGTGGACATGGCAGGAACAACCCAATGCCAAATGGGGTGGATGTGGTGTGGAATCCAATGATAAATGGGGAGGATATGGCATGGAAAACCCAATGATAAATGGGGAGGATATGGCATGAACAACACTATAGGAAATGGGGTGGGCATGATGTGGAACCCAGTGCCAAATGGGTGGATGTGGCATGGAAAACCTAATGCCAAATGAGTGGACATGGTGTGGCAACCTAATTCCAAATGTGTGGCCATGGCAGGAACGACCCAGTGCCAAATGGGGTGGGCATGGCGTGGGAAACCCAAATTATTAAATGGGGTGGACATGATGTGGAACCCAATGATAAATGGGGTGGATATGGCATGAAAACCCAATGACAAATGGGTGGAAATGGTAGAAACAACCCAGTGCCAAATGGGGTGGACATGGCATGGAAAACACAATGCCAAATGGGTGGACATGGTAGGAATGACCCAATAATAAATGGGGTGGACATGAATGGGGCAACCCGGTGCCAAATGGGTGGACATGGTGTGGCAACCTAATTCCAAATGGGTGGAAATGGCATGGAAAACCTAATGCCAAATGAGGTGGACATGATGTGGAACCCAATGATAAATGGGGTGAATATGGCATGGAAAACCCAATGATAAATGGGGTGGATATGGCATGGAAAACCCAATGATAAATGGGGTGGATATGGCATGAACAACACTATAGGAAATGGGGTGGGCATGATGTGGAACCCAATGCCAAATGAGTGGACATGGTGTGGCAATGTAATTCCAAATGGGTGGAAATGGATGGAAAACCCAGTGCCAAATGGGGTGGACATGGCATGAAAACCCAATGACAAATGGGTGGAAATGGTAGAAACAACCCAGTGCCAAATGGGGTGGACATGGCAGGAACAACCCAATGACAAATGGAGTGGACATGGCATGGAAAACACAATGCCAAATGGGTGGACATGGTAGGAATGACCCAATAATAAATGGGGTGGACATGAATGGGGCAACCTGGTGCCAAATGGGGTGGACATGGTGTGGCAACGTAATTCCAAATGGGTGGACATGGATGGAAAACCCAGTGACAAATGAGGTGGACATGGCAGGAACAACACAATGGGAAATGGGGTGGACAAGATGTGGAACCCAGTGCCAAGTGGGCGGACATGGTAGGAACAACCCAATAATAAATGGGGTGGACATGAACAGGGCAACCTGGTGCCAAATGGGATGGACATGGCAGGAACAACCCAATGCCAAATGGGGTGGACATAATGGGCATCCTAATTCCAAATGGGATGGACATGGATGGAAAACCCAGTGCCAAACAGGGTGGACATGGCAGGAACAACACAATGGGAAATGAGGTGGACATGGTGTGGAACCCAGTGCCAAATGGGTGGACATGGTAGGAACGACCCAATGATAAATGGGGTGGACATGATGGGGCAACCCGGTGCCAAATGAGACGGACATGGCACGGACAACCCAATTCCAAAGGGGTGCACGTGGCAGGAACAACCCAGTGCCCAATGGTGGCCATGGCATGGACAACCCAATGCAGAACGGGGCAGACGTGACGCGGACAACCCACGACCAAGCTGCTGGTGTTTTCCGCAGCTGGAGCAGATGCTGGAGAACACAGCGGTGCGTGCATTGAAGCAGTTGGTCCTCCTGCACCGTGAGGACGGTCCCAGCCCATCGCGCACCGTTGAGTGGCTCAACATGCGGAGCTGGTGCTCGGGCCACCTGCACATCAAGTGTCCGCGCCGCGTCTTCTCCCGACGCAGCCCCGCCAAGCTGGTAGGTGCCACCACGTCCCCAACCCCAGCGTCCCCATTTTGCTCTGCTGCCATCATCACCGCTTGTTTTCCATCCCCAAGAGAGAGATGTACGAGAAGGTGTTCGCCAAGAGCGCCGATCGGCACAGCGACTTCTCCCGCCTGGCGCGGGGGCTCACCGGGAACACCATCGCCCTCGTGCTGGGTGGTGGAGGAGCCAGGTGGGTGCATCGTAGGGCGGGATGGGGGAGCCGGGGGTTGGCTGAAGAAAGACAGGGAGCTGTTGGAGAAGGGTTGGAGGAGCCTCGAAGATGATCAGGGGCTGCAGCAGCTCCCTGTGAGGACAGGTTGAGGGAGCTGGGTTGGAGGGGGAGGAAGAGGAGGAGGAAGGAGGAGGAATAGAAGGAGGCAGAGGGAGAGGAAGAGGGAAGAAGTTGAGGAAGGGGAGAAAGAAGGAGGAAAGAGGAGAAAGAGAGGAGCAGGAGAGGAGGGAGAAGAAAGGAGAAAGAGTCCCAGGTGGCGAAGAGTCCCAGGTGAAGAGTCCCAGCTCCCCCCACCAGCATGGGCTCGGTCGGCACGGAGAAGAGGAGCTGGGGGCGAGCGCATTGCAGCCTGCAGCGCCCGAAGGGAGCCTGCAGCCAGGAGGGGAGGCAGCTCTTGGGAAGGGGAGACGGCAGCAGGACGGGGAACGGCTGGGAGCTGAGGGAGGGCAGCTGGAGGCTGGAAGTGCTGTGCTGTGAGAGCGGGGAGGGGCTGAGCAGAGGGGCTGCGATGCCCCGTCCGTCCCTGGAGGCGTTCGGGGCCGTTGAAGGGGCCCTGGGCAGCCTGGGCTGCTGTGAGACGTGGAGGTCGGTGGCCCTGCGTGTGGCTGGGGGTTGGAGCTCCGTCATCCTTCATCCTTCTGACCCAAACGACTCCGACTGACCCGTGACGCTGCTGACCACTGTCATCCCTCTTCCTTTCTCCTGCCCCATCTCCTCTGCTCCCCCAGGGGCTGCTCCCACATCGGGGTGATCAAGGCGATGGAGGAGGCAGGGATCCCCATCGACATGGTTGGTGGCACCTCCATCGGCTCCTTCATCGGCGCGCTGTACGCCGAGGAGCGCAGCGCTGTGCGCACCAAGCAGCGGGCGCGGGAGTGGGCCAAGGTGGGTGCCGTCCCCAGCTGCTGCTGCTGCTTTTTCTTCCTCTTCCTCCTCTTTTCCTTCTCCCTTCTCTCAATTTTCTTCCTTTCTTCTTCCTTCTGCTCCTCCTCTCCTTCCTCCTCCTCTTTCTCCTTCATCTTCTCCTTCCTCCTCCTCCTCCACTTTTCTCCGCTTCCTCCTCCTCCTCTCTCCTCTTTCCTCCTCTCCCTCCTTCTTTCTCCCCTTCCTTTCTTCCCTCTTCCTCTCCCTCTTCCTCCTTCTAATCCTCCTCCTTCCTCCTTCCTCCTCTTCCTCCCCTTCCAGCGCATGAATTCGGTGTTTGCGACCGTCCTGGACCTCACCTACCCCATCACCTCCATGTTTTCGGGCTCAGCCTTCAACGCCAGCATCAACAAAGTTTTCCAGGACAAGCAGATCGAGGTGGGCTGCACCCCAATCTGGGGTCCCGGCTGCCTCCCCCTCACCCCCGCCGCCAGTGTCCCCACGGTGTCACCCACCTCATCTCGTCCCCTCAGGACCTTTGGCTTCCCTACTTCAACGTCACGACAGACATCACAGCCTCAGCCATGCGGGTGCACACAGATGGTAAGAGCCACCCCAGGGAACTGGGGACGCTCTACGGCACCAATTTACCTCTTCACTGGCACCCCAAAAACGTCACTGTCACCTGGACGGAGGTGGTGTCCCAGTGCTGGTTGACCAGCAAAGCTCAGCTCCACACCAGAGCCTGGCGATTCCCCGTGTCCCACGTGGGGACGGGGACACAACGGGGATGCAGAGCTGCAACCCACCCCAGCGCGTGCATCTCCTAACACCTCTGCTCCACACTAACCCCAGTAACCCTCACTCACAGCATGGGGGTGTGGGGCTGAACTGCCGGGGGGAGGTGGTGGGGAAAATAAACGTGGTGGCGGTGAAGGGGAGGGAAGGATGGGGACAATATGGTGACGGTGGTGGAGGTGTCACGATGGGGATGCTGATGGCAGCTGGGTGGTGGCAGTGCGGTGGCGCTGGCTGCGTCGGGACGGCGCGGGGCCACGAGCTGACGGTGGCGGGGGCTGCGCGGTGATGGGGACGACGCGGTGGCTGCCCCTCATCCTTGCCTGGTTCCAGAGCTCACCTGGGACATTGAGCCGTCCACGGGGCCGACGCGGTGGCTTGCAGGCAGCCTGGCTCTCTCTCCCCAGCCTCTCCTCTAACGCCATCTAATCCCCGCTCACCGCCCCTAACCCTTCCCGAGCCCCGACCCTTCCCCAGCCCGGCGTGAACAGAGCGCTTTACCCCTCCACGCCTCTCTCCTGATGCTGAAATGGCACCAGCAGCCCCGGGGCTCTGTGCCCATCCCATCCCCCCCTGTGCCCGTGACCGTTCCTCTCCCTCTGGCAGGCAGCCTTTGGCGTTACATCCGAGCCAGTGCCTCCTATCCCCCCTACCTGCCTCCGCTCTGCGACCCCAAGGACAGCCACTGCCTCGTGGACGGCTGCTATGTTAACAATGTCCCAGGTCAGCATCTCCCCTCTCCCGGGGCCACCGGCTCCCCTCCAGAAACGCTCCTTTTTTTTTTGTTTTGTTTTGTTTTGTTTTGTTTCCTCAAGAAAAACAAAACCAACCAACCAACCAACCAACCAAAAAAAAATCATCCCATTGCAGTTGGAGCTTTGCAAACGGCCCCTCTGCCACCCATGGGTGCCCACCGGACCCCCGTGGGGTGCAGACATCCCTGGGCAAGGGCAGGGGTGAGGGGCAGCCCCCTGGGGGGCTCAGGCAGGCGCGGGGCGAGCCGTGCTCACTGCATTTGTTCCCCGCCGGCGCAGGCTCGCTCTGGCGGTACGTGCGAGCCAGCATGACCCTATCTGGGTACCTGCCACCCCTCTGCGACCCCAAGGACGGCAACTTGCTGATGGACGGGGGTTACATCAACAACCTGCCAGGCAAGTAGCATCCCACCGCCCTCACCGGCTCCGGTCCCGGTGGAGAGCAGTTGGGTTGGGGCCACACGGCCACCATGGGATGGGGCTTCAGTGCTCTTCGAGCTCCCATCGAGGCTGGATTTGGGCCGTCCAGCTCGGTTCTGAGTCGCCTGTTGGTGTTTTCAGTGCTGGTTGCCCTCCTGGGGCATCTTCTTCCTGTGCGAAAGGCATCCGTGGTGACCGGGTCCAGCCCAAGTGGTGGGTAGTTGGGTTGGGGCCACGCGGCCACCACGGGATGGGGCTTCAATGCTCTTTGGGGCAACGCAGGCTGGATTTGGGCCGTCCCACCGAGTCCTGACTTGCCTGTTTGCGTCTTCAGTGTCGGGTGCCCTCTTGGGGGCGTCTTCATCCTCGCTCCCGTGCAAATGGTGCCCATCCATCTTGCACTGGGTCTTGTCGGCCTCTGCTTCCAAGGATACCTTCATGTTTCTTGGCATACGGGATGCGGCCCTTCATCCTGCATCTCCTCTTAGCGATAGGTGTCCTCTCGTCGCCCTCCATGCACAAAAAACACCCCTCCGTGTTGCACCATCTCTTGGTGTCCTTGGCACCGGGTGCTCTCCTGCACTTCCATCCAGCTTGCGTCCTCCTCTCCTGGTCTCCTTGGCACCGTGCGCCTTCCCTGGGCGTCTCCATCCTCCTGCATCATCCCTAGGTGTCCTCAGCACTCCCTGGGTGCCCTCTTGGGGCATCCGTGTCCTTCATATGACAAGACGTGGCCACCTATTTTCTGAACACCTCTTGATGTCTCCAGCACCAGATGCCCGTCTTTGACACCACGTGTCCTCCCCAGGACACCTCCATCCTTCACTTGCCACCTCCCTCTGTCCTCCATCATCTGCTGGGTGCCCTCCTGGGGCATCTTTGCTCTCCTTTACATGCAGCCATCCTGAATCGTGTTTCTCGGTGTCTTTGGCACCTTCTGGAGCGTCTCCATCCTCCTTCACATGCTTCCTCCCCACTGCATCACCCTCTCTCGATGTCCCCAGCTCCAAGTGTCCCCCGGGGCACCTCCATCCTCCCCTTTCAACCCATCCCCATCCACCTTGCATCACCTCCCGCAGTCCTCAGCACCGCTGTCTTCCTGGGCTTCCTCCACATTTACAGAATTGCCTGCATCCCTCCGTCCCCCCTCCATGGGCATCGCTGCTCTGCTCCCCACCAGCCCTCAAACCCAACGCCCGTGGGACATCGCTTGTCCCCCCGCTGGCCCCAGCATGACTTTGCCATCCGGCCCATGGCTGGGAATGGCCCTTTGCCCTTCTCCGTGCTCCTGCCAACCCGTCTCCCTCCTTCCCTGCAGCTGACATCGCTCGCAACATGGGTGCCAAGACGGTGATCGCCATCGACGTGGGCAGCCAGGACGAGACAGACCTGTGCAACTACGGGGACAGCCTGTCGGGGTGGTGGCTGCTCTGGAAGCGCCTCAACCCTTGGGCTGAAAAAGTCAAGGTGAGGATTTAAGGGTACATGAAGACACCCGTGGGGGCAGAGCAGGGTGCTGAGCGCCCCGTGCTGGCAGGTGCCCGACATGGCGGAGATCCAGTCGCGCTTGGCGTACGTGTCGTGTGTGAGGCAGCTGGAGGTGGTGAAGTCCAGCTCGTACTGTGAGTACATCCGTCCCCCCATCGACCGCTTCAAGACGATGGATTTTGGCAAGTTCGATGAGATCTACGTGAGTCGGGGGAGGAGGAGGCAGGCGGGGTGGCTTTGGGACATTCAATGGGGCGGCGTGGGTTGGTGGGGTTCTTCAGCCATCGTTTGGGGTGTCCTGGTCGTTAACAGCGTGCCCCGGCCACCTCTTGAGCACCCAGCTCGTTACCTGTGTGTCCCGTCATCAGGTTTCACCACCCAGCAATGAGTTGGGTGCCCCAAGCACCACTGAAGGCGTTTTGGCCCGTCGGTTACGGTGCCCGGCTCACTGGGTTGGGTGCCCCAGCCATTAACAAGGCACAGCAGGCCGTCATTTGGGGCGTCCCGGCCGTTTTTGGTGTCCCCCAGCCCCTGATTGGGATGTCTTGGCCTTCAGTTGGGTGCCCTAGCCATCATTTGTGTGTGATGACTGTTCCATGTGGTGACAGCCATCGCCTAGGCTTGTCCACACCATCATTTGCGATGCCCAAGCCGTCAGTGTCCTGCCCATCATTTGAGTCATCGTTCGTGGTCCCCATGTCATCATTTAAGGTTCCCCGACCGCTATTTGGGTGCCCAGGCAAAAGTTGGGCGCCCTTTGCCATCGGTTGGAATGCCCCTGCCGTGGGTTGGGATGCTCTGGGTACCTGGGCCATCCTTCGAGCCTCCCAAAGCCATCCTTCGTTTTACCCGAGCCACCAACGAGCCTCGGCCACACTCTCTCCCCACAGGATGTGGGTTACCAGCATGGCAAATTGGTCTTCGATGGTTGGAATCGGGGTGACATCATTGAGAAGATGGTGAAGGACCGGCGCTCGGCCGACTTCTACGAGAGCAAACGCATGGATGTGAGTCGGGTGGCACCGGGGGCTGTGGGCAACAGGAGCTGCGTGGGGAACCCGCCCCAGGGCTCCCACCCCCCTTGGGCCACTCCTCTCCATCCCGTCCCCTCCTTGTCGCATCCCCTTTTCCCTTCCTTGGTCCATCCTTCTGTCCCCGCTTCGCCCTCCCAGGGACCTTCAGAACACCCGGCTCCCCCCAGAGATGCTCACTTGCCCTCCCAGACATCCAACCTTCTCACCTGAGATCCTCAAGATCACTCAGATTTCTGCTGGGCCATTCAAATTCCCCAGGTCCTCAAGGACACCCCAGTCCCTCGTTGGGTCATTGAAGGGATTTCCAAGGACAAGGGACACCCAAATCGCCCCCCCTCGTCCCCTTCCGCCCCATCACCCGCCTCACATCCCTCATCCCCACCCCTCTCTCCCATGGGGGAGGGGGGGGGAGAGGGGGGGGTTTACATCTCACAGACCCCCCCTCTCCCCCCATAGGTGCTCACCTACCCCAGTGCTGGTTTCACAGACCTGGCAGAGATCATCTCCCGCATTGAGCCCGCCAAGCCCTACCCGTCGGACGGACACGCGGACGGTGGGCACCCATCTCGCAGGCTGGGGCTGGGGGGGCTGCATTCAGGCCCTTAAACCCCCCCCTTTTTCCCTCCCTTCTGCTCCCGTTAGAGGAGTCTGACTACCTCACCGAGTACGAGGACGAGGGGCCGGAGCTGTCGCGGGGCGAGGAGGAGGCGTTCGCCCCGACGGAGTGGCCTGGAGCCGGAGTGACAGAGGCTGTGAGTGGCCCTGGCCGCTGAGACCCTCCGGAATGGGGCTGACCCTGGGCTCGGGGCTCCCGATGGTGCCCTCACCCCACGCGTGGGGGGACGTGGGGCGAGTCCTGTCCCCAGGTTGTGGAGGATCCCTGAAATGGGGTGTCCTGGGGGTTCCCCATCCTGGTACCCCCATCCTCAAATCCCCATCCTGAGGTCCCCATTCCAGTGTCCCCATCCCCAAATCCCCATCCTGAGGTCCCCATTCCAGTGTCCCCATCCCCAAATCCCCATCCTGAGGTCCCCATTCCAGTGTCCCCATCCCAAAATCTCCATCCCAAAACCCCCACTCCAACATCCCCATCCTGATGTCCCCACCCCAAAATGTCCATCCTGGTGTCTCCATCCCCAAATCCCCATCCTGAGGTCCCCATTCCAGTGTCCCCATCCCAAAATCTCCATCCCAAAACCCCCACTCCAACATCCCCATCCTGATGTCCCCACCCCAAAATGTCCATCCTGGTGTCTCCATCCCCAAATCCCCATCCTGAGGTCCCCATTCCAGTATCCCCATCCCAAAATCTCCATCCCAAAACCCCCATTCCAACATCCCCATCCTGATGTCCCCACCCCAAAATGTCCATCCTGGTGTCTCCATCCCCAAATCCCCATCCTGAGGTCCCCATTCCAGTATCCCCATCCCAAAATCCTAATCCCAAAATCCCCATCCCAATGTCTCCATCCCCAAATCCTAATCCCAAAGTCCCCATCCCAATGTCCCCATTCCATTATCCCCATCCCAGTATCCCCATCCTAAGGTCCCCATTCCAGTATCCCCATCCCAACGCTCCCATCCTGATATCCCCATCCCGATGTCCCCATCCCAAAATCCCCAACATCCCCATCCTGAGGTCCCCATTCCAGTATCCCCATCCCAATGTCCCCATCCTGAGGCCCCCATCCCCAAATCCCCATCCCATCGCCCCCACCCCCACCCCGCTGACCCCCCATATCCCCTCTCTCCCCAGGAAGAAGAGCAGACCCTGCGGCGCCGCCCCGGCGCGGCTCAGCCCCCCTCTCCGCCCCCCACCTGAACCCTGCAGACCCCGAAGGACCCCGGCAGCCCCCGGTTGCCGCCCCCCAGCTCTACCTCCGCGCCCCGGGGCCCCCACCCCACATTGTGGCCGTGGCTTTGCCCCATGGCGCTTCCCCCCCCACCCAGCACCGTCCCCAAGGCGGGGGGTCGCAGCTCCCCTCCTTTCCCCCCCCCCCTGCACTGTTGCACTGGCCCAAAACCCCCCCTTGTCGCCGCAGGCCGACCTCGTGGTGGCGGGGAGGAAACGACTGCTGGAGAATTTCCTTTCGGTTCTCTTCCGTTTCGTTTCTTTGCTCGATGGCTGGTTTGTTTTCTTTTGTTTTGTTTTGTTTTGTTTTCTTTTGTTTTCTTTTGTGTTTTTTTTTTTTTTAATTATTATTATTTAAAAACGAACCCGGCGTTTGTTTGTCCAGAGAGAAAGCGGGGGGGGGGGGGGGGGGGGGGGGCAGCGGGGCAGTGAGTGACATGGGGACAGCTGGCACCGGGTGACACCCAGCGCATCGCCGCACTGCGCTGCAGGGACACCGCGGGGTGGGGGTGGCAGGGAGGGCAGGGGGACGGGGACACGTGGGGAGAGCTGTGGGGACACCTGGCAGCTCCGCGGCACATGGGACGTTTGGCACTGCTGTGGGACTGCCACCAGTGCCATGGGACACCGGGCGCCACTGCGGGACAGCCAGCACCACCTTGGGACTGATGTCACCACTATGGGACAGATGTCACCATCTTGGGACTGCCACCATCATCTGGGAACAGCTGTCACCACCATGGGATTGGCACCAGTGCCATGGGACACCTGGTGCCACTGTGGGACAGCCAGCACCACCATGGGACAGATGTCACCACTATGGGACAGATGTCACCGCTTATGGGACAGCCACCACCATCTTGGGACAGATGTCACCACTATGGGACAGCTGTCACCACCTTGGGACAGCCACCACCACCATGGGACACCTGGTGCCACTGTGGGACAGCCAGCACCACCTTGGGACAGATGTCACCACTATGGGACAGATGTCACCACTATGGGACATCTGGTACCACTGTGGGACAGTCACCACCTTGGGACATATGTCACCACTATGGAACAACTGTCACCATCATGGGACAGCCATCACCATCTTGGGACAGCTGTCACCACTATGGGAAAGCTGCCACCACCTTGGGACTGCCACCAGTGCCATGGGACACCGGGTGCCACTGTGGAACAGCCAGCACCACCTTGGGACAAGTGTCACCAATATGGGACAGCTGTCACCACCATGGGACAGCTGGCACCCCTGTGGGACAGCCACCACCATCTTGGATGTCACCACTATGAGACAGCTGCCACCACCTTGGGACTGTCACCAGTGCCATGGGACATCTGGTGTCACTGTGGGACAGCCAGCACCACTATGGGACAGATGTCACTGCTTATGGGACAGCCACCACCACCATGGGACAGCTGTCACCACTCTGGGAGAGCCACCACCGCCATGGGACATCCAGCATGGCCACGGGACAGCTGGCACCACCGCAGGACAGCCACCACAGCCAGGGACAACTGGCAACGCTGTGGGACCCATCGTCACCCCATTGTCACCCCACAGGGCCCCATCATCACCCCACTGGGCCCCATCATCACCCCACAGGGCCCCATCGTCACCTCATAGGGTGCCTATCGTCACCCCACTGGGCCCCATCGTCACCCCCCAGAGCGCCCATCGTCACCCCACAGGGCGTCCATTGTCACCCCACTGGGCCCCATCGTCACCCCACAGGGCGCCCATCGTCACCCCACAGGGCGTCCATTGTCACCCCACTGGGCCCCATCGTCACCCCACAGGGCGCCCATCGTCACCCCACAGGGCGTCCATTGTCACCCCACTGGGCCCCATCATCACCCCACAGGGCGCCCATCGTCACCCCACAGGGCCCCATCGTCACCCCACAGGGCCCATCGTCACCCCACAGGGCCCATCATCACCCCACAGGGCCCCATCGTCACCCCACAGGGCCCCATCGTCACCCCACAGGGCCCATCGTCACCCCACAGGGCCCCATCATCACCCCACAGGGCCCCATCGTCACCCCACAGGGCGCCCATCGTCACCCCACAGGGCCCATCATCACCCCACAGGGCCCATCGTCACCCCACAGGGCGCCCATCGTCACCCCACAGGGCCCCATCATCACCCCACAGGGCCCCATCGTCACCCCACAGGGCCCATCGTCACCCCACAGGGCCCATCATCACCCCACAGGGCCCCATCGTCACCCCACAGGGCCCCATCGTCACCCCACAGGGCCCATCGTCACCCCACAGGGCCCCATCATCACCCCACAGGGCCCCATCGTCACCCCACAGGGCCCATCGTCACCCCACAGGGCCCATCGTCACCCCACAGGGCGCCGCCCATCGTCACCCCATAGGACCCCATCGTCACCCCACAGGGCCCCATCGTCACCCCACAGGGCGCCCATCGTCACCCCACAGGGCCCATCGTCACCCCACAGGGCGCCCATTGTCACCCCCCACAGGGCCCCATCGTCACCCCACAGGGCCCCATCGTCCCCCCACAGGGCCCCACCGTCACCTCATAGGGTGCCTATCGTCACCCCACAGGGCCCACTGTCACCCCACAGGGCCCATCGTCACCCCACAGGGCGCCCATCATCACCCCACAGGGCCCATCGTCACCCCACAGGGCACCCATTGTAACCCCACAGGGCTCCATCGTCACCCCACAGGGTGCCCATCATCACCCCACAGGGCCCATCGTCACCCCACTGGGCCCATCGTCACCCCACAGGGCGCCCATCGTCACCCCACAGGGCCCATCGTCACCCCACTGGGCCCCATCATCACCCCACAGGACCCCATCGTCACCCCACAGGGCCCATTGTCACCCCACAGGGCCCCATCGTCACCCCACAGGGCGCCCATCATCACCCCACTGGGCCCCATCGTCACCCCACAGGGCGCCCATCATCACCCCACAGGACCCCATCGTCACCCCACAGGGCGCCCATCATCACCCCACAGGACCCCATCGTCACCCCACTGGGCCCCATTGTCACCCCACAGGGCGCCCATCGTCACCCCACAGGGCGCCCATCGTCACCCCACTGGGCCCCATTGTCACCCCACAGGGCGCCCATCGTCACCCCACAGGGCGCCCATCATCACCCCATAGGGCCCCATTGTCACCCCACAGAGCCCCATGGTCACCCCACAGGGCGCCCATCATCACCCCACAGGGCCCCATCATCACCCCACTGGGCCCCATTGTCACCCCACAGGGCGCCCATCATCACCCCACAGGGCCCCATCATCACCCCACAGGGTCCCATCGTCACCCCACAGGGCCCCATGGTCACCCCACTGGGCCCATCGTCACCCCACAGGGCGCCCATCATCACCCCACAGGGCCCCATCATCACCCCACTGGGCCCCATGGTCACCCCACAGGGCGCCCATCATCACCCCACAGGGCCCCATCATCACCCCACAGGGTCCCATCGTCACCCCACAGGGCCCCATGGTCACCCCACTGGGCCCCATCGTCACCCCACAGGGCCCCATCGTCCCCCCCCCAGGCCCCCATTGTCACCCCACAGGGCCCCATCATCACCCCACAGGGCTCCATCATCACCCCACAGGGTCCCATCGTCACCCCACAGGGCCCCATGGTCACCCCACTGGGCCCCATCGTCACCCCACAGGGCCCCATCGTCCCCCCCCCAGGCCCCCATTGTCACCCCACTGGGCCCCATCGTCACCCCACAGGGCCCCATCGTCCCCCCCCCAGGCCCCCATTGTCACCCCACAGGGCCCCATCATCACCCCACAGGGCCCCATCATCACCCCACAGGGCCCCATCGTCACCCCACTGGGCCCCATCATCACCCCCCAGGGCGCCCATCATCCCCCCACAGGGCCCATCATCACTCCACAGGGCCCATCATCACCCCACAGGGCGCCCATCATCACCCCACAGGGCCCATCGTTACCCCACAGGGCCCCATCATCACCCCACTGGGCCCCATTGTCACCCCACACCCCCACATCGGTGCCCCCACAGCCGGGCGCTGTGGCTGAGGCTGGCGGATGCCGATAGCACCCAGCTCTTCCTGCAGAGCCCAGCAGGGTGTCCCTGTCCTGTCCCCTCCCCCCTCAACCCCCGCCCCCCAAGGGCCCCTTTTGTCACCCTGGGTGCTGGGATGGGTGCACAGCAGGGATGTCACCCTGGGCACGGGGACATCGCGGGTGTTGGCACGGGGACACCGTGGGGACACCTTGGGGACATCACGGGGATGGCAGTGGATGCTCCCCGGGCATGGGGACAATGGGGACACAGCAGATGTGGGGACACAGCAGCTCGGGCACGGGGGGACACGACAGGCACTGCCACGGGGTCCCCTTGGGTGCCATCACGGGTGTCCCCCAGTCCTTCCTCTCCCCACATCTCCCGCACCCATGGGTGCCGCCTCCGGCACCCGTCACTGTCGGCGTCACCTCCAGCCCAGCCCTGGGGCGTAGGGACGGAGCTGTGGGTGCTGAGGGGCCCCTTTTGAGGCCCCCCCCCCCCACATCCTGTCGTGTCCCCCCGTCCCCCCCCCCCCCCCCCTTTTTGCTCTGCTCTTATCAACCAGGACAGACACGAGGACGGTTCATTGGTGACAAGAGGACGATGTACGGCAACATCGAGTCCGGGAGGGAGTGGGGGACAGGAGGACCCTGTGGGGACAAGGGTAGGTGGGGGGTGGTGATGGGGGGGGGTCACTGAGGTGCGTGGTGACAACCAGAGGTGATCTGAGGTGGGGGGGGGGGGTCTCTAGGATGAGCTGTGGCACCGAGGGGGGGTTCCTCATCCCCAAAAGAGATCCCCAGGGCTGGTGGCACCAAAGGGACCCCTGCCCCCATTTCCACCCCCCAGCGCCCACCTCTGGGGCAGATCTCCCATCTCCAGTGCCCATGGGGGGGGGGGGGGTCCCAGCACGGCGACACCAGGGGGGACCTTTCATTAAGGAGATGAGGGACCCCCAGGCTTGGTGGTGGCACCAAAGAGCCCCCTGCCCCATTTCCACCCCCAGCGCCCTCTCCTGGGGCAGATCCCCCATCTCCAGCACCCATGGGGGGGGGGGTCCCAGCACAGCGACACCGGGGGGAGCCCCTCATTTCGGTGCTCAGGGTGAGTCCCTCCATTTGGAGATGGGGGGAAGAGGGGGGGTCCCCCACGAGCGCTGCCCCCTCCACAGCCTGCAGCGACCTGCACCCCATGGAGGAGAACCCCTACGAACCTTTGGACCCCCCCATCACTGCTCCGAGCTGGAAGCACTCACCCGACCCCCCAGGTAAGGTGTGAGCGACCCACAGGGACGAGGCAACGCAGCCCAAATCGGGGTCCTGCCGCCCCATCGCGACCCGTTGTCACCTCCTCCCCCCAGTGTCCCCAGCGCGGCAGGGCTGCCCCCAGGACAGGCTGCTGCTGGTGGGGGCCGTGGCCCTGGGGCTCTCGGTGCTGCTCAACGTCTTCCTCCTCTCCCTCGGGACGAGGCGGAGTGAGTATGGGGTCTGCGGGGCTCAACGGAGGGGTCCCCAACCTTGGGGAATGACGTGGGGCAGAGGGAAGGTGCTGGGGGGGCTCCCTGGGGGCTCCCCAACATCGGGAGGTGATGTTGGGGCAGAGCTGGGGCTCCGGGGGTCTCCTTAGGGGTTCTCTCACTTTGAGGGACGTTGACACAAATCCTGGGGCTCCTGGGGGTCTCCGTGGGGACCCCACCCCTGGGAAATGGGGTTGGGGCTGAGTTGAAGGGGTTTTTTGGGGGAGGGGTCTCCATAGGGGCTCCCCCACTTTAGAGGATGCTGCTGGGGGCAGAGTTCAGGTGCTGGGGGGCTCCACAGGGGTCTCCCCCCCTTTTGGAGATGATGCTGGGGCTGCTGGGGGCAGAGTTGGGGTCCTGGGGGTCTCCATGGGGACCCCACCCTTGGGAAATGAGGTTGGGCTGAGTTTAGGGTGGTTTTTTTTTTGGGGGGGGGGGGTTTCTATAGGGGCTCCCCCACTTCAGGGGATGCTGCTGTGGGCAGAACTGGGGTCCTGGGGAGGCTCCATGGGGTCTCCCCCAGTTTTGGGGATGATGCTGGGGGTGGTGTTGGGATCCTGGGGGTCTCCACGGGGACTCCCCTGTTTTAGGGGATGATGCTGGGGCTGTTGGGGCAGAGTTCAGGTGCTGGGGGGCTCCACGGGGGTCTTCCCCGCTTTAGGATGTGATGCTGAGGCTGCTGGGGGTGGTGTTGGGATCCTGGGGGTCTCCACGGGGACTCCCCTCGTGTTTTAGGGGCTGTTGGGGCAGAGTTCAGGTGCTGGGGGGGCTCCGTGGGGGCTCTCCAACCCTTGGGGATGATATGGGGTTATTTGGGTACCGGGGTCTCCGTGGGGTCTCCCCAACTTTAGGAGACGATGCTGGCTCTGCCGGGGGCGGAGCTGGGCTGTCCGTCTCCC